TTTGGTTTTAGTGTACAACTGAATTACCAATTACATTAAAATTCCTCCATACTGGTTCTGTGTTTCATGTTCCTATAGAATCACTGCAATTTGCCGATAATTTTTGTTTATTCTGGCTTGTATATAATTATATTTTAAATGTAACTGGTCTATTTTTAATTACATATACAACAATTGAACGTTATTTACTTATATTTTATAGAACAATGTTTATTAAAAAAATGAATCTATTTTTATTTCATTATGTACCAATTTTATTTTCAATTATTTATCCACTATTATTTTATATTGGTGTCATACTAATTTATCCATGTGAAAATCACTTTAGTTATACATCATTTGTTTGTGGTCAGCCATGTTATCAATTTAATTTAATACCAACTTTAGTTGAATGTTTTCTGAATTTACTTACACCTGTCTGTATAACAACAATTATTAATCTATTAATAATTGTACGTATACTAATACAAAAACATCGTATGAAGCAAGCATCAACATGGAATAAAAATAAGAAAATGGTTATACAACTGTTATGGATATCAATTTTATATATTTTCACATGGGTACCATTGACAATTTCTCTTTTATTAAGTAATTTTGATTCAACAACAACACCATGGTTAACTTCAATAATTGTGGTACGTACAGTACAGTTAGTACAGGCTAAATCCATCTGAGACCTACTGCATTGTACAAAAGTATCTGAAGTAGCTACAAAACTTATCTCAACTTGTAGATCTGAACGAGTTGAATCTAATGGTAAAAACCGTGGGTCTCCATCGTTATTGGCAAAATAGTTATTAGCATTACTCTTTACCGCCGGGAAAGTGAATATTTTTCGTTATTTTTAAGCGCATTTGATCTAAGTTGCAAAGCCATCACTGCCTAAAAGACCTAGCGTGGAACACTGAATTAAGTCTAAAATGAAAGAGCTCGTCAAGTTCTATCTAAATCGATGAAAAAAAATTATGCGACATATCTGGATCTTGAGCAAAACATTTCTGAAAACTCCGATTTTCTAGAAAACCTGAAGATTATCTAGTTTATTTGAAAACTCTTTTGTCCACTCCAGTGTCAACCAAGTTTCTAAGGCGTTGAGCTGCAGAGTTACAGGTATTCTAAAATTATCGGCATAAACTCAGTTGAAAGAATTCACACGATGATAAATCTTTTATTCGCATCGTATTTTCTCGGTTATTTTTTAATGAAACTCATAGAAACGCGCCTGACGTCGCTTTTTGTGGAGCATTGTACGGGCTATCTAACGAAGTGATCAAAAAGATTTACAAATGAATTTAAAGATTGTTAGGTTTTCTAGAAAATCAGGATTTTCAGAAATCATTTGCACAACACAAAGATCGCATAAACAAAAGATCGCAAAAAATTTTTGGTGGAAATTGTGTAGAACTCGACTCAGCCTTTCATTTGAGACCAAACATAAGGTTCTACGTTAGATAAGAGGATCAAGAGATATTTCAGAACATGTAGGTGGCACATGGATTTAGCCTAAAGTTGTTGAGGTAGAAATGATTATAGTCGTAGTCATAGATAGGGGTATGACAGTTCCATATCAGCTCCTATCATAGGAACTGTTGAAAAGTTCTTTTGAAAGGAGCTGATATGTTTGAACAGCTGTTTGAAAAGCTCGTCCCGAATGTTCATTAGACGTTCATACAAGGGGGGAAAAGCGGACTCCTGGACTCCCATGGACACCTGAAGTCCAGGAGTCCAAGAGCAAAGTGTTCTTTTTTGGGAATCACTTCCCAAAAAAGAACAAAAGTGTCCATTTTCTGGGGAGTGATTCCCAAAAAAGAACACTTTGCTCTTGAACTGCTGGACTTCAGGAGCTCCCAGTGCTTCGAGTTGAGCAAGCTCTTGCTTCAGCATGATAGCTTTAGCAGTAGTCGTTGAAGAAATTTCAAAATATTTCAATTTTTAAAATTTCAAAAGAACTGTTCATACATATCTGCTCCTTTCAAAGAGCTGTTCAAACATATCAGCTCCTTTCAAAAGAACTGTGCAACAGTTCTTTCGCTCAAATGAGCTGAACTTATGAGCTGGAACTGTTCCAGGTCTAGTCATAAAACAGAAGCAGCTATCGAAAAAAATGTTATGTTTCTTCAGGCGGAAAAAAATTTTGTGTTGTGATTTTCTATCATTTATCTCGTGTAAGTTTTTCAAAAATCGATAATGTCATCTCTCTTGTAACGTTAGGCAGCCTATTTTTGATTTGATTCTAGGATTATTTGAATTATTTAACATATTTAGCTGGACTTCTATGCCCATTTGTTTGTATTATGGCTTTATCTGAAGTACGGAAGAAAATAATGATAGTTTATCGCACTACATACTTTTATAGAATAATTCAGCAACAGCGTGTAGGACCATCATTAACGAGAGATATAGCAACAGCAATAACAGTCAACGGCGGTGATGACGAACGTAGTGATGGTGGTATGACCGTAATGATGATGAAACCAATGATGGCAACTGTTGTTGCGACTGTCGGCGGCGGTGGCAATTTTGTGCGACCGACACAAACCGATGGATAATTAAAGAATTATAGATTGTAACATTTTAAATTCCTAATTGTTGTTGTTGTTCTACTACTCCACAGCTACTACAGAGAAAGCTTTTTTATACCGTGGGAGTATCGACGAGTATCTCAACTCACTCGATAATGATCGACGAGAAAATTCCAACTATTCTTTCGAGGGCAACTAGGTCGCTATTTGCTACATTGCCAAAATAATTTTTTATTTCTCCTTGAATTTAGGCTCTTTGAGCACCATTGAATCGCTTACTGTTGTATGGAAGTGTTCGCCACAACCGGTGGTTCCGCTGCCGAAGTAAGATTTTATAGATCAAGTAATTATTCGCTTTTTAGCCTACTGATATAACTGCCAAAAAATTTGTTTTAATGCGTTCGAATACCGCAAAATCTTTCCTTTTTCCAATTCTCTACGGCCATCCACCACAATTAGTTATTGATAAATCCTAGAACTTTGAGGTATTTAAAATGTTGTTAGAAAAACAAACCGGATACCAAACAGATTCGGCTACTCAATATGCACTAGAATTCGGTTTCGAGTAAAACAACAAATTTTTTGAATCCGTCAATACTCCTATGTGTCTGTTTTCTTTCTCATGTAAAACAATTCCTATTCGTCCTCCACTCATAAAAATTTGGTTCTTGCGTGGATTAATAGAGAAATATGTGGGAAATATTTGCTACGAGAAAGAAAGAAAATAGTTTTGTTCTTTCCTTCCGATTAATAACTAATCAGTGATACTTACCGTTAATTAACATCATTCTACTCTTGTACACTCGCACTTATAAAATAACAAATCAACGAAAAATACTGAGCAATATCTCATCTAGTAGAGAATTTCACGGGCTTTAAGACAGACAACTTTACAATTTTTAGAATTCATTTTTGGTTGCTCGGTAGCTCTGAAAAAATTTTGAGACATAAACTGAAAGAGTACGAGAAAAGAATTCAAGACTTGGAAATATCGCTCTAGGTACAAAAGTTGTTCAGAATCGAATTCTGGAGTCCGCCATGAGATCTATTTATAAAAATAATTTTTAAATTCGATTCTGAACAACTTTTGTACCTAGAATTTTCTCTGAAATGTTTACTTTGAGCGACATTAGACCTAAGACGTTTTTCAAAGTACTTTTAGTCCTGATATTCCATCGAAAAGGTGAAAGTTAGATTTCTGCATTCAGAAACAGCGAATGAATTTTTTTCCGTATACAATTTGATGTTTTCTATCGAACTACGCTAGACTCAACTCTTTGTATAAAAAAACTGAAGTTGGCACATACTCCGAAATATCTTGTACAAATTGGTGAAAAAACCAGGATGTGGAGACATCGCCCCTTTAAGTCGACTGCATTTATTACGATCTAGTAATATTTAATCTTTGTTTTTCTGCTTTACCTTTTTTTGCTTTTTTCTCATTTTTAAGATAGGATAATGTTTTTTGTTTGTTGTGTCATAAAAACACATAACTATTTTACTGGACAAATAGCGGGATTTGTTTTATGTATAATAAGTGAAATTTAATAACGTTATTTTGTTGTAATCTTTCTCATATTTATCCAAGCGTGTACGTGTATATTTATTGTTGGTAATAAATATGAATATGCAATAACGGCAAGCCCAACACGAAATTTTGTGTAACGAAGTTATACAGTGGGTCCAAAAATTATTGGCCCACCTTTATTTTTCATTTCTCTCGTCGACCATAATAGCTGGAACAAATTCGAAAAAAGATTTGAACAGTTGAAAGAATTTCCAATCCGATGTTGTGTACATAAAGGTTCCATCGAAACTTCTGAAATTAGCGCTTCTGTATATAAAATATTTTCATGGTTACTGGATCAGTTTTGTAGGAGAAATTCAACTTTCACTGCCTCAATAGGATTTGGGGGCCAAAGGATTCCAAAAGATCCATTAACCAAGTTTCGCATAAATGAAGCATTCTGCAAGAAAAGTCTAAATGTAAAAGTTGTTCAGAATCAAATCCTCTGGAAATTCGAGCGATCTACTCAAATCAGGAAATTCGAGCACCTGGTCACTCGATGGAAGAATTTGCGCGAAATCGGATGAAGGCGTAATTAAGTAAAAGTTGTTAAAACCAAAATTAGTAAGAATTGTTAATTTGTTTATGGAGTGCACAATCCATAAAAACGGTGTACAAAAGTAAAATAAGTAAAAGTACTCGTTTTTTTCAATATATATACAAAATCTATCTGATTGTAGCATATTCGCGATGGTTTAATAGGAAAGTGTTTATCATGCAATTCGAAGGTACCGTGTTCAAACATATAAAAACTCCAGATTATTCGTTAACTCGGCGCAAAAACTAAACATCCGGTGCACAATACTGTGTGTAAAAAGTAAGTCCTCTGCAGGAAAACTAAGTAAAGTGAGGCTGACTACGGTATGTAAGATGAGAAAAGTGGCTAGCGGCATGGTGAGAGATGAGATGAAAAGTGGGACAACCGTGAAAATCTTTCCGCAGAATTCTGCGCAAAAATTCCCGCAGTTTAAGACATTCACGAATGAAAAATGTCTGCAAAATTCTTCTACATCGTGAAAAGAGAAGAATTCTTTTTTCATTGGACTATCTAACCATGTATAATGAAAGGGGTGTGTGTGTGTGTAACGGCTCATCGCCATTACATTATTCTCCATGCTTGATCTTATCACAGTTTCTAGAAATTCTTAAAACTTCGTAGTTTCGCGGGTTTTAGTGAGAGAGATAATAGAAGAAAGAAATTATTTATTATGTATTAATTTAATACAAGTCGTTTCCGGGGAACAAAACGAAAAACAACGCATAATTGAAAGTACATTTCGATTCTTTTTATCATTCTTGTCACTTTTCAACTTCAAAGTAACATCTCTTATCTCCCTCTTCGTCTCTCTCTCTCTCTTACATTTATATCACATTTATCTTCGAATTCAAACCACTTCTTCTTCTTCTCTCATATACCGGGAAGGAGGAGCTTTACTATTATATTTTAGTAATTAATATAAATTAAATTTTACATTTAATTTATATTTAATATTTCTATAATTTAGTATTTGCGTTTGCAATACTTATTTTCATTTCTCCTTCTTACATCAGCATCACGATTTCCACCACCTTCTTCTCAAAACAACAAAGAAGAATTTTATCGATTTTATTTATTAATTAATTGAACATTGTAATTAAACATTGTACAAACAGTTTTTTGTGCAAAAAGTTTATCATTAAACAAATAATAATTGTTACTTCAATTATTATTTAATTTTTAATTAATTTTTAATTATAATAATTGAAGCAACAATTATTATTTGTTTAATGATAAACTTTTTGCACAAAAAACTGTTTGTACAATGTTTAACCCTCTCACCATCGCTGGAGGCCACGGCCGAGACAATGCACTCAACCAACTCTCCTCCCCTGACGGTCGCTACGTGGATCATGATTAAATTGTTTTGATCGCTGACTGTTGAAATCACCAGATTGTGGAATGAAAGTATGGTGTAATGAGTGGTCAATTGGTGGCCGTTTGAAATGGAGAAACGATCCTCTCGAATATTGATTGCAGAGAATTGACAATTGACTATCAAAGATTTCTCTACGTCTCCGACATCGACAAGCATGAAGTGTAACGAAATCGGGGAGGAGAGATGGATGGAACGGTGGTGGCGGGTGACAATGGCAAAGGTGATTGTCTCAATCAGCTCAATTGTCCTACCTACGTCTTTTACCGATCGAGATCAGTCGGTGTACATGTCGGACAACAAAAATCATCGTGTGACGAAGTTGGTCAAGGGTACCAAAGAAGGGATTATTGTGGCTGGTGGTCGAGGCCAAGGGAATGATCGGGTACAATTGTCGAATCCTAATGGAGTGTTTGTCGATCCGCTGGGCACAGTCTATGTGGTAGACTGTAGTAATCATCGAGTGATGCGTTGGTGCAACAGAGTGATACTTTTCGTCAAGTTCTTGAAAAATTAGTAAAAACTAATTTTGATAATATACGCGTTATCGAAACCGACCTCGGATTTTGATTCTCCACCCTCGATTCCCTTCAGTCAAGTTCTTTATAAAATATTTCAAAAAATTAATAAGTAATTAATATATTGTTAAAAGTTAAATACAGAAGTGTTTTCACACTTCTGGTACATTTCCCATGGATTTATTCAATACTTTGTCACAAAAAATCTACTAGCGAAAGGTTTTCCTCGCGCTATAAACGCGTCAATGCATCGATCGCAGCTGTGTGCACGTTCGACCAGTCTAGCTGCATCCGGGCCTCGTCACATAGCAATGTAGCAATGAGCGTACGATAGTCTATACATCGTCGACGGTGAGAGTGACTCGTTTCTCGCGAAGGGCGACAACGCGGTGATTGTAGAGGGCTTTCGCCTGCAAAATGTGCCTGTGGATCTTCCAGCCTGGTTACCGATTTCCCTTGAGCCAGAATTTCTCTGCCTTCTCTAAATCCTTGGCTTATCGTGCTACCAGCCAGGTCTTTATAGCGTCTGGATTCACTAGCAGATCACCGGTGTCAAAAGAGCACTGCAACATGTCTTCTTTGTGCATCAGAGCACAGACAAACTCTATAGTGGAGCCTTGCTTCACTCGTGCTGTGAACTCTTGTTGATCAAGTAGTATGATGTCATATTGATATTTTGGTTTTCCAGCAGCGCTAATTTCAGAAGTTTCGATGGAACCTTTATATACACAACATCAGATTGGAAATTCTTTCAGCTGTTCAAATCTTTTTTCGAATTTGTTCCAGCTATTATGGTCGACGAGAGAAATGAAAAATAAAGGTGGGCCAATAATTTTTGGACCCACTGTATAACTTCGTTACACAAAATTTCGTGTTGGACTTGCCGTTATTGCATATTGGGGAACACTACGCGCAACCAAAATATGTTTTTTAATGGGTGTATTTCTGCTCAATTGAACATTAGTTCTCGGTTGGGTCTCAGCCGACGACCCTAACATAGGCCTGTTGCATCACCAGTACGAACTATTC